CGAGCTTCGATCATCGCTAAACTGTATCAATTCAGGCGCGTCTATCAACACCGTGTGCCATTGCACCAGAGAGGAGCTCAGCACCCGTCATCAATCTCTCCGTCACCATGTCGAGCGTAATCGATGGCTCATCCTTGCAATGAACGAAAGTTTGAACGGCGCGTCTCCATTGTCGATGTATTACAGTCCAGCTTATGCAGGTAATGATGGCACGCACCTTCAATCGCATCTACAGCAAACGCCCGCACAATAATACCGCAAAGAACTACTGATCCGTTTCAATCAAATTCTATCGATTAGCATGGCCGCAGAAACAAAGCTCCAAGCGATATGGTCCAGCGGACAAAGATAAGACAACCACAGCTTATGGAACGAAGGCCAGGAAAGGCTTGCAACTATGACATCTCGGCTTCATGCTATTGACATCATCCAGACTGTTCTCTGACTCACGGCGACGGGCAGCATGACTGCACGCGTGGGAGAAGAGGTGGAAACACCTGTCGTGGGTTTCTAGGTTCCGAAGGTCGAGGGTCCAAGGCCAGTGTCATTGCTGAGCAGGTAACGCCTTCACTGTATCTCGGTGGCGGTGATATTTTGTACTGTTGAGTGAAACGGAAAGACAGTAGAGTCGCTTGCAACTAAACCTTTTTCGTAGTACGCTCAGAACGCAGTGTGGGTCGGGCCCCCAGCTCTACACCTTCGACTGCTCGTGCACCTTAGGCAAAGATTATATACAGGCTGCTCACCCTTCACCTCCCCACCTCCCGCCGGGACTACTTGTTCTTCTGCTCCTCCGCTTTCGCGTACCCGTCCGTCGCTCAGCCTCAACTAGTCAAACACTACCGCGCTCTTCCTTTTCCGCCGCGATGAAGGCACTCAATTTCCTGTCATGGACGGGATTAGTCGCTCTGGTCGCAAGTGAGCGTCTCAGCCCGTCACGTGGGCCTCTCTTGAATATCTCAGCTCTTCACGTTTCCAGGAGGAACGTGATTCCAATCGACTTTGCTGGCTACAACCCTGCGGACCCCGGCTTCGTCATCCATGCCTCAGCAATCAGCGATGAAGAGTATGAAAAGGCGGTATGTCGAGGCCAGAAACTCTTCCTCGCAATGACCAGAGACGGCAATCAAGGCACACGTTACATCGATCCCCTCGACAGCAAATGGGACGACAACCTCGAGAAAGAGGGATTGACCTGGGGTAAGTTATGAGGGTACGAAGTATATGTGAGACAAATACTGACTTCGTACCTCTACCTCTGCAGCTTGGTCTCTGTGGGTGGACGAGGACTCTTGGTGCGGCTTCCGCTTCTATGGGATGACGACTGCGTTCAAAGCCCTCAGCATCAGCGACATGTCGGTTGGCGAAGGAGGAGACAATCAGTGTTTCAGCGCCTACCACTACAACAGTCGGGCCGTTCTCTTTGATCCAAAAGATCCCTTCTACCTGGATGACCCCGAAGGTCGGATGTTGCCAATCGATAAACAATACTATCTTGATCCATCGGGCAAGAGGCAGCGGGTAAGTTGGGTTTGCGCATCAACCTGCTAAGCCGAATATCATAGCAAATTTTGGGGGTGACTGACACAGAGCCTAGTGCACAGCTTCCACGTACACGTTCGGTGTCAATCCCACGGCGGGCGCACTCTTCTTCGTCTCGCGCAGTAGTCCCTTCGAAACCGCAAAGATGCTCTGGAAATACGCCCCAAAAGCCTCTGAGCTACCCGAACTGCGCGCCAGCTCTGACTTCGCATGGGGCCTCTGGAATAAGATACGCGGAAAGGACAACCTCGGTGACATTCGCAAGATATTCAGCCTGTACATCGCAAACAAAGAAACCCAATCAATCATCGATAAAGCGATCGCTAAAAAGAGCATCAAAGAGCTGAAGAAGTGGCCAGGAACGGAGATTGATCCAAAGTCGGAGGAAGGACTAGCGATTATCGGTGAGTGTCTCCCGTCAACATCTCATTCTACCTTCAGTTACTAACAAGATCGCTCAACAGGTTCCGCGAACGGTCGAGCCGCAGGTTATTTCCTTGCGCAACACAAGAAACAGTTGGGCAAGGACAAGTACATCTCCAAGATCAACGTCTTCCTGACCGATAAGGAAAACCCGATGAGTAACATTCTCTTCTACGTCGACGATGTGCCTTCGCCGCCGCCGGAGATGGCGGAGCCTGAAGATAAGGACAAGGACAAGGACAAGGACAAGGACAAGGACAAGGACAAGGACAAGGACAAGGACAAGGACAAGGACAAGGACAAGGACAAGGACACTGGATTGGTGGAGTCGAACCTTGTTGGTGGAGATGGGGATGGAACAAGTCTCATAAGACGACACATGGTCTTTGCAGGCCGCTCAGACTAGGTACGTAGAAACCGGCCTTCGATGCTGCGCCTCAAGTAGATGGTTTTGTGTACATGAAGGAAACACTTGGATGGTTAGACAACATCGGTTCGGTTCGAGAGCATGCGATCCTAGCATAAAGCGAATCCGGTTAAAAGCACTCAACGTACGCGTACAATTCAGGAACGATGATGTGGATAAGAAAACATTGTCGAGCTTTTGCCTTCTCCAATCTAACTATTCCTTCACTCTCTATTACGACTTTGCAAACACTTTATGACTCCGCACAATGCTCTTCCCGTCTTCAGACCGCGCTACCACTCGGTCCTCGTCCTCATCGATAGCAACAGGCTCATTCAGCGCAACATCTCGCATCTGAATCTCCTGCGGAGGAGGCGGCGGCTGGTACGGCGCCGGCTTAACAACGAAGCACATATGCGGCAACGCCGGTACCCCCATGAAAGGGCTTCCCGGTGCACCCTGGAAGACATGTATAGCCGACACGTATCTGTTGTGGCCAAACTGGGGTTTATGTTGTCCGAGCAGGTAGCCTGCCGCGATGCCGTTCGGCGATCCTAGAAGTCATACATCAGCACTGTGTAACATGCTGCAAGCAGGAGGCCGTGTGGAACATACCCAACAAAGCCCAGTATTCCGTAGCCATTCCAGCTTCGAATACATCTCCCGGCCAAGGTCGTACTTCCCGGCCTTCCAAAGCGCGCGCGATGATGGCGCGTGTCTCTTCGTTGGTGATCCGGTGGGAGAAGATGTAGTTGATGTTGGCGAGATTGCCGGCGCTCATCCTCTCCCATAGACCCCAGGCGATGTCTGAACTCGAAGCTAGAGCGGGCAGCTGGTCTTTTGGAGCTTGGGCGACGCCCCATAATTGTTTGGCCGCGGATTGGGCTGACCGGCGATTGATCATGTGGATGACACCATCTTGCGCGTTGATACCGATGGTGTGGAATGCGCCTGTGATCCTGTAGCTTCTACTGTTTACGACGTACTGCTGTTGGTTTCTGGCTGGTAGCTGACCGTTTGGCAACCGCTGAACGACGGCACTGTCTCTGTGGACGTAGGAGAAACATTTGTTCGGCCCGCCATCCGGAGCGCTCCTCGCGCTGATTCCAAGAGCCTTCAGCGCCGTTTCGAACATTGGCTTCATGGTGAAGTCGCATTCGTCTTTGATGTCCCTGTTTTCGCTGTTGTCTAGGTAGCCCCACAGCGCAAGCTCGTTGACGAGTGTTCCAGTCCATGGGCTGTTCAGTGGAGTACCGAACTGCTGCGCTTCCTGTGGATTGAGTGTGTCCATGAGCTGGAGCTTCTGGCCGCGGCAACCGGCAGTCACCCAGAGGAAGTCGTTTGCTGGCGCGATGGGTGCTCTTTTGAGTAGGCTATGGCCGTCTTCAATGACCAGGCTGGAGATATTGGGTGACGTCTCGTTGACGGAGGGTAGTAGAGCTTTACTCGCGACGAGGCTCTGAAACGCGGCGAGACATGAAAGTAGGTAGAATTTCATGTTGCAGATCAGTGTAAGGTGGTAGGCGCTGCGGCGAGAGAGCACATGAGAGATGTAAGCGGGTCTATGGAGTAAAGGGCGTTAGTTCCGGTGATACTACGCGTACGTACCCGGAATGACGCGAGTGACACTCGGAGTGTTTGCAATATGAGTGAAGGATCATTGAAGGTAAGCAGCAAGAGTCAGAAGCATTAGAGTGGCGAGTCTGAAAGTGAAACACACAGATATCATTCAACCCGAAGAAGCATTTGGATAAGCTTATGGCATATACTAAGCATACATATCTGTGAGTCGGTCCAACGTGGCCCAAGTCGTATACGGGAAATCGCACCCTTACAACTTCGCCCAGAGCACGTGCTGTCTGACTATGTTCTTCTCATCAGAAACTCTCCTGACCACTTCTACCGCTTGCGCTGGTGGCGGTATAATAGGATCGGGTAGATCATCCGGTACCTTCGGTGGGGGGTAGGGCGCGGGTCCGACGAAGAAGAAAATATGGGGTGCCGATGTGTCTGCGTCTACTCGAAATACGCGGATCGTTTGGACCCAGCGGTTGCCACCTAGTTGGGGCTTGTGTTGAGCGAGGAAGAATCCGGCTGCCCTGCCGTTGGGGGATCCTATCACGTAGTTCTGATCAGTTTCGTGTCAAAAAGGATATGCGCAACGCTCTACATGTGTAAGTATAGGGAAGAAACAAACAGAACGTACCCAAGATAGCCAGATAGCTGTCAGTGTTGTATGTGTAATCGACCCCCGGCCAGACTGGAACCTCGTTCAACTGGGATTCCTTCAGCGCTCTGTCGATAATCTTTTCCGTTTCGGAATTGACGACTGTCAAAGATGCTATAATCCAGATTTTCAGGAGATTGCTACTCGCTCGTCTCCAAAATGCCCAGGCTAGATCCGAACTCATACGCAGAGCCGGCAACTCATTTGGATCGACTGTATGCTGATCCTCTAAACCCCATAAGTCGCGGGCTTCGAATGCGGGAGAGCCACTTTGAAGAAAGAATATCGCGCCTGCATCTGGGTTGACGACCGCCGTAGTGAAACCGGCTGTGGCCTGTATCGCGATTGCTTAGGTTAGCAGGAGGTTGCTAGATCGTATCGGGACTCGAAATATGAACTCACCCTGTATAATCGACCATCGACGTCATAGTACTGTTCTTTCCTGGGGTACATGTTTCCGTTTTCATCCTTCTCCATAGCATCACTGTCGCAATGCTTTACCGAGAAGCAATAGTTTGGTCCGCCGTAGAGGTGGCTGCCTGTTGTGGTTCTGAGGTGCGGGAGGATAGTCTTGAGGAAGTCGATATTGCACTCTGTATCGGGATCGGTAACTCCATCTTTCCAACCCCACTTGGCGAGGTCGTCCCTCATCTCGCCGTCCCAGGGAGAATTGATGGGATTCACGAATCGTGCAGCTTCCGGAGCGTTTTGGGTGGTCCCGAGAAGTAGTTTTCCGCCCCTGCATTTTGCTGCATGCCAGAGCGCATCGTCGGCAGGTTGTAGACCGAAGCAAAAGTCGTCGTCGCTGTCGTCGCTGTTTTTGTCGTCGTTGTCGTCGCTGTCGTCTCTAGCGTTCAGGCTGCGGCGGTGCCAGCGGCACTCAGGAGACTCTCTCTTGACATTGGTGTCGTTGCGCAAAGCTTCAGTCGCGCCAAGGACGAAGAGACCCGTGATAGAAATGATGTGTGTGAGCTTCATCATATGAGATCGTAGTATTGCAGTCGGAGTGTTGCGGCCGGTTGACGTAAAAGGGAATGTGTGAATGTGGTGACTGTAGCCTACCCCAGGCAAGCGAGTGATTCTAGCTTGCCTAAGCAAGGGTGAGTGACCGGAACGCGGGAGGAACTCGGAGCAAGTGCGACCTGCCTGCGAAGTGAAGGCGAGACTAACGTCATAAAGTCAAAGCAGGCACGACCGCGCACTGGGATATCTGACATGTGAACGCACATTCGAAGGAGACATTGCGACCATGTTATCCCTCGCACTGGCTCGCTAATAAGTCTTATAAGAGCAGCATTGATGTGACTGTGCCTGGCTCTAGGAAATTTGACCAAGAGCATATCTAGTCTCTTGCGACACGCAACCTCCTCGCCATCAAAGCTTCGCCCAAATAACATGTTCTCTAACCAAATTCTTCCCATCCCTACTCCTCCTCACTACCTTACCCTCTCGAACCGCCGCGCTACCCTTCTCCGCCGGTTTCTCCGGCGCACCAGGAGTGTCTTCCACATCCGGCATCGGTGTTATATTCTTGTCAACATGAAAAATGAGATTAGGCTCATCATCAAACTCATCGCCATCGTTTCTAAATATCGTGATCTTGTAAATGAAATTAGCGCCGCCGAGCTGCCTTTTGTGTTGTAGGAGAAAGTAGCCAGCGCCGAGTCCATTGGGCGAACCTAGACAGGTGTCAGAGCGAGCAGCAGTCGATGTGCAGGGAAAGCGACGTACCAATAAGCGCAAGAGCAGCTTCAGCCTCAGCGTCATTATCTGACCCCACCACTATCTCCGTCCCAGGCCATCTCTTCAGCTCCGTCTCTCCCACCGCTTCCAGAGCCTTTGGGATGATGGTGTCAGCCGTTTGCGTATTGACAATCTGGAGAGCCATGATCATCTTGATCTTTGGTTCTCCTGGAACCCTGTTCCAGAGCGCCCAAGCTAGATCAGAACTCGAGCGGATCTTGGGCAAGTCGGCTTTATCGACTTGTTCAGGTTTCAGATTCCAGAGATCTGCGGCTCCTTGCTCGGGTGACATTCGGTTGAGGAAGTAGAGAATACCGTCGTTGCGGTTTATGCCTACGGTACTGTAAGCGCCGGTGACCTGTCGGTTTGTTAGAAGTTGGCCCAGTGGGCGTTCTGTTGCTGGAGCTCTGGATTACTGACCCTGTACGTCTTCCCATCCGCCTCGTAACGCTGACTAGACAAATAAGGCATCTTCCCATTCTTGTCTAGGATGACCGTAGGCCCATTGCTATGCTGTAATTTGAAGCAATGATTCGGCCCACCCTTCCCCGCCGGTCGCGTATCAACACCGAGAGCATCGAAAGTGTTCTTCATCTTCAAGGTCTCGTCGAAGTCACATGAGTCATCAACCTGTGCATTCTCCTCTTCGTCATCGAGCCAGCCCCATTTTCTCAGTTCGGATTTTAGATCGCCGTCCCAAGGGCTTTGTGTGTAAGGCCATTGCAGCATCGTGTTGCTTTCTTCTTCGTCGAGGGACATGGCTCGGACAAGGGCGGCGCCGCGACAATAAGCCTTGTGCCATATTGGGTCATGATCTGGGGGTGGCGGTGTGTCGACAGCAAGTACGGGATCTACGGCGGCAATCGAGACTTTCGAGCTTGAGTTAATGGTAGTGAAATCTTCATGTAGCTCTCGTCGAGCTACGACCCCTCTTGTAGCCGAAGCAACAAGACAGACGAGACAACCATAGAATAGCAGCTTCATCTCAAGAATGGGTAGTAATAACAGTGTGGGATAATAAGAGCAAGGGGCTTGGATGAAGACAAGGTCTAGACAGGGATAAACTCCTGATGTGAATCCGTAATGGCTACCATGACGCAATTCTAGAAGCGTAAATGTTTCATTCAGCCTCTAGGCACGAGTGAATTCAAGGGTCGAAGACCGCATTGTCACTGACATCCAAAAGCTCAAGCCCCCCACTTCTTTTTCAACGCTGCTACCTGTGTTGCATTAACGCCCAATACACTCCCGTGCCTCAGATTCTGAGGCCAGGCGCTCCTATCACTCGCTGTCCATTGGCCACCTCTTACATCTGTACTCTCGTAGGGTCTGTATCCATCGGCTCCATAGAAGTCTAGCAACAGGTGCGCCTTGCCGGCGACTTGGTTGTCCCAGTAAGGCGCGGGACCCTCTACGCCAGATGCGATAATTGCATTGGCACCTGCAGGCCTGGACCAGGTACCGAATAGTCCGTTGGTCGAGATCTCCGTATAGACTGTTTTCGCACTCTCGTCCTTCAAAAAGCGCGCGTACGCGTTATTACCGAGAGACAGGAATTCTTGGTCGATAACGTTGATGGGTGATCGGTTGATATAGTCCTGAGGCGTGCTAAAGGTCTTGAAGTCCTTGGTATATGCGTAGCGGATGCGGATCGACGAAGGTGAACCTGTGTGCTGTGGGTCGGAAGTGGGATAAAACTTGCTCGCCCAATGAACGAAGTATTGGCCTTTGGCTTCGTCGAAGATAGCGCTGGGTGCCCAGACCATTCCTGCAGTCGCATCTTCAACAGTGACTAGGCGTTCGTTGGTCCATGTTACGAGATCGACGGATTCCCAGACGAAGATGCCGCGAGATCCCGTGCGCTGGGATGCATCCCACGTTGTCTTCCCGATGTTCAGATCGGTACCAATAATGTACCACTTCTTTCCAGCTTCGGCTGCTCCACCAGATATGATTGCAGGGTCGCGGACGCCAAGAGTGCCTTTTGTCGGGTTAATGACAGCTTGGCCTTTATTCAAAGCAGCCATGGAGTTGGCGTTGTTGCCATTGGAGAGATAGAAGTATACAGAAGGCTTGTCGCCGAGGAAGAAGACGCCGAGATAGTTGGTGAGAGACGAATCGGCACGAGATGCAATGGCATGTCTTGAAAAGTCGAGGGTCTGTGACGGTAAAGCAAGAATGCTGGGAAGCAAGCTACACAAAGTGAGGAGACGCATCGTGAAGAAAATCGGTAAGCCCGGATATGATGACCAGATGAGAAGGCGCAAGACCACTTATAAAGGCAGTGAAATAAAGTTCCATCCGGCGTTGCCACATAGTTTGTCAAGGATACGACGTCACGAGCGTTGCGCAACGGCTGTTCCTCCTAAGACGGCTAGGTACCCAAGCTTCAGTGAACCCTAGGAGCGTCAGACCAGGAAGGTGACCATTTTTGCGGGGTAACATAGTCACAAAGTCAGTAGAACCTCTTCTGGTAGGTGGGTCTGGGGATAGATTAAGTTGAATATGGGGTGTGCACGGTATGGTATTAATCCGGCGCTACCGGTTTCCAAGGCGCTACATGGGCAGCCTCGGTAGTTCGGCCAAACGCAAATGCCATGATAATATCGCTCCATCGACCAGAATAAGAGAGCAGTCGAATTCGCACAGTCCATATTCGTGCTCTAGGGCCCAGGGAATCTTTGCGATTGTCCGGTACTCGACCGTAAGCACTTGTAGAGCAAGCTGGTTCTGTATGAGCCACCATCACTAGCCATCATAGACTCACCGCATAGTCATATCGCAGATTCACCACTGATACCGTAGTTGGCAATCGACACGAGGCGAGCGCAAGCACACGAAACACTGTGCCTGGCCGTGTGGATGTAGAGTCGTCCTGTATGACATGGATGTGTGTATGCCCTACTTGCTCTTTGTACGCTTTCAGATGTCTTCCAGGACGCAGCTCAGTCATCGTCGCTATCATAACCAGCCACGAGCATGGTCGATAGTTTCGAGGGCTGTGCAGCGGCTTTGGCCTGAGGCGCGGGTGTCGAAGCAGGCGCCTTTTTCTTGAGGCCTAATGCAGCGCTGAAGTCTTTCTTTTCCTTCGGTTTCTTGGTAAACGTTGTAGCAACAGGTACCTCGATGGGCGCGTCGAACATGTCTTCGTCGATGGTCTCCTCGCCGATGTCAGGCATACTCCGATTTGCGAATGCTTGTCGTGCAGCCTCTGCGTCTTCTTCCTCCTGCTTCTTGCGTCGCTCGTCGGCAGCATCGGGTTGTACCTCGGTTCCTTTGCCTTCGCGATCCGCCTTTTCCAGCCTTGCGTTTCTCGACCTGATCTCGTCCAGAGCGTCCGCGATGGCCATCTCGGTTTTGGCATCGATGACCTTTGTTTCGAGTTCTTTCATCGCGTCGCGCTCTGCCTCCTCCCTTTCTATGCGATCCAGACGTTCCTCTTCGGTCTCCTCATTGAGCTTGGCCTCTCTCCACGGCTCGAAATTTCTCTTCGCGCCACGCTCGCATTCGTAGTCCATGTTCTTGGGGTCTGTCTTGAAGGTGATCTCGCCGGAGCATCGCGTGCATCGAATGTAGAAGCGGAAGATGGCGATGTTGTAGTACTTTTGATCCGTCGTCTCCTTGCGCGCGTTGAACTTGCGGCCTTTGTAGATGAACTCGCCGCAGTGGGTGCATTTCATGGAGAAAGGTGCCATGAGGCGGACCGTCATCAGCTTGGGACCAGCATTCTTGGGGCCGCGTTGGCGGGTGATCTTCGAAGGATCGAAGTCCGGTGGGTAGTACTTGGTGAGCACTTTTCGTTCGGACATGGCGGCGGTTTATGTGTGGTCTGGCGAGGTTTGGCGCTGATCGGGTGCTTCGGGTTGATGTGTTGAAAGAGAATATAAGCTTTATGCTGCGTAAATGAAGGTGTCGCGTTTGATATGGATGAGCTCGTGTGGGGTGTTGGATGTCAGTTGAGTGCTCGAAATCACGTCCAGGTAACGGCAACCTTAGCGCGGAACTTTTGGCTGACTAAGGCGGCCCGCTGCTGCAGGCACCCCGCAAACATGTGCTCTCGCGTCGGGCAGGCGCGACCCTGGCTCCAAACATCGCGCCGCCGCCGACTGCCTCGACTGGGGATATCTTTTGGGGCACATTCACTAACCCGCCTGAACAGACTATACCCAATGCGATAGTAACACTATGGAGAAATATCTACGCGAGTGGCGCCAGGAAGCCCTCAATCGCTGCCA